ACGTGAGATCGTCGATGCCCGTAACCAACGCCTTAAGCGTGCCATGGACCTCTCTTTGAAGCACGTGTATCTCCCTAAAGATCTTCAGGTTTCCTCTTTTTCCAGTTTTCAGTTTAGATTTTGAAGAATTGTATTTGAGTACTTAATTTGGGGGAATTTTTAGTTGTTTTTCTGTACTTTTATATAATATTTGGTCATTATATGTTAGAAGAAACCTCGAATGGATCCTATTGTGAATCATATTACCCTTTAAAAGTATATGTCATTGATGTTTAAGCATATTTTATAATTAAAAAAAATAACACTACACGCGTACTAATATCCTCATATTTTGTGTACGGCTGTAGTCCTGTATGGGATATAAGTAAGATAGAACTCTTGAGTTCTTTGCTAGGATTGGTTGCTAATTATAGTACTTGATTTTTACTTCCCAAACCAATAGGTAACCATTAAATAGAGAAGGTTAAATTGTTCTGAATTATTAAATTGAAGTAGCAAAGTGGGTACTAAACTCTGTTTTACCTATAGAGTTCAATCCCTCTAAGGCTATTGAACAAAATGGATGCAGAGTGAGGAACTTTAATTACATTATTTGTATCAATAAGATAAGCAATATCTATTTTTGGTAAACATCAGTTAATTTCTTTGATTATGTTTATAAGTCTAAAGCATGTATTCTTGCCACTCTTTTCATTTTGTAAGAAATGGGGATGGGTAAAAATAGCATTAGTTGATCAGTGTTTTTGATGTGAACTTGCATCTTCACTTCGTTACTGTACTTTGAGGTCTCATAATTCATTGGATTTTATTGTTCCTTTGCAGGCTATGCAGACACCATTTCGGAGCTATCTTCAAGATATGCTTGCTCTTGTAAGTTCTTAAAACAGTAAAGTTCTGTTGATTAATTGACTGATTTGATTTTGCATTTTTTATTTTGGGCTTGGTTATCTCATGTGAATATCGGACATGGGTATGTATTTGACACAGGTGTCTTCAATATATTATACGTCTACCTTATAGGAAGGTCATACACTTATGTCCCGACCTTATGAGGTGTCAAATAAAGTTCCTGCATGCATACTTTAGAAAAACTGAAGAGTTGGAGATTTCAAGTAACAGTCACATGATGTGAAAACTAATCTGTACACTGCAGTAATTAGTATGTTTCTATCTAGTTATGTAGAACAATTTTGCTAGTAGTTGGTGTATTCCGACAAATATAATGGATAAAGTAATAGGATTCAAATTTCATATATTCAATTTTTTTATCTAACTAGGGAACTACTGCTTGGACTGCATTTTTTGTATGCGTTTCCTCTGTTTCACTACCGAGACTAGTTTGTTTCTATACGACCCCAATTCCTTATAATTATATTTCAGATGATTCTGATTGTTACCACTATATCAAAGTAGAAAGTTTTATCGGGATTGTTGTATCTGATTGAATTCTGTCTTTTTACTTATTGGATTTTAAGAAGATTGCTCTCTAATCTTCAGATGTTAATCGTCTGGGATGTCAGCAATTGAAATCTTGTTCTATCAGGCCCCAGCGTTATCTGAGAAAACTTTCTAAATTAAGATGGATGGTTCTGGTTCATTTCGATGTCAAAATGCAAGATTCTTTGTAGGTATATTAACTCTTATTAGTTAGCTGGTTTGGGAGGAAGTTTATATGATTGGATTGTCGCAATGCTTACCAACCAAGAGGAGTTCGTATGGTTGAAAACTTCCAGGTTTCTTGCTAATTCTTCTATGTGATTGGATTGTTGCAATGTTTACCAATCAAGAGGAAGTATATATGGTTGAGAACTTCTAGGTTGCGTGCTAGTACTACTTGTTACATGTCCTGTCATATTGTTTATCAATCATAATTTGCTGACACATTGTGTGCTTGTGCTGCACTTTATCTATGATATAAATTAGAATTTTTACCTAGTATGTTCTCTGTGTTAAAAAGAAACATGACTTGAATTTAATGTGAAATCAATGGATAGAGTTTGAGTCTGTGTTAAGATACTTGTCGGTTGGTATCTTGCAGGTGAAGAAGGAGAGAGCAGAGCGGGAAGCTTTAGGAGCTTTGCCCCTGTATCAGCGAACCATTCCTTGAGGTTTTTAGAGTCTCCTGTAGCTATTAACGTTGGAGTTTGTCTTCAGAACAGTGATTTGTATGTCGTATCATGCTTTGCTAGCAGACGTGGACATGAATTTTGCCTGTCCTATTGGTTGGTTACACAGTGATCTTTGTCAGTTTTGAATGGAATCACTAATTGGGTTTAATCTGTTTGCAATTCCCTAATAATATGTAAAACTGCGAACTGCATTTTATGCTTGAATGCAAATCTACAATAAACCCTTATTTACATGGAGGGTTTTCTTGTTTGTGGTTAGGTTCACCTTGATTTGTGTATTGGCCCCTGAACGAACTTGCATTTTTGTGTAAATCTATACTGACCCTTCCTAGTCATTTTGTTGGCAAATGTTGAAGCTCATTGGGCTTTTAGTCCGACAAATAAAGGTGAGACTTTTTGTCCTTTAAACACTACTTCCCATGGCTAAAATTCAGAACTTTAAAGACTGGAAATGTTTCCCTGGGATGTCTCTCCCTGTGATCCATATTACTAATAGAAGTGACCATTGGACTTTTATATAAGTCCATCATGATTACTAATCCTTTGGTTATTGGTTTTTCCTGCTTATAAAAGAAAGCCCAGAGGCCGTAAGGAGTTGAAGGACAGACCTTACCTCAAGCTGATCCATGAGTCTGTAGGCTTCATGCTTTCGTGGCAGACCTAATTCAACGTGCAACCATCTGCCGCTATTATTATTGTCGAAATTGGTATATCTCCATAAATAAATCTTGGTCTTTCACTCAAACGTGCTGAAAATATTCTTCATGCTCTCTAAATTGAGCTACTCTATACCCGTAGGACGAGGGAGGGGGATTTTTTTATCCTTGGCATCAATCTCTCAATGTTGGTACGGTAGCACTTTCTTTTTGTCCTTCTTTAGTTGCAAATGCTTAACTTCCTCATCGCTGTATAATATTTAGTAAAACTTGTTTTGTTTTAGTTCCCAGGACAAGAGCATTGTTTAGATCTTTGCCCAAATCATAGGGATTTCTATCCAAAATTTGAAGTCCGCAAAAATCTCTCACTTGTTAGGATGTGTCCCAATATTTGCGTCCATTGAATTGAAACCCTTAAGCCATGTTATTTAGGTACCAGACTTTTAACTATCCTAATTACCATTGATTATATTGTCCTGCAGTTTGATCACCAGCATTTAACTCCGTCGTCCTCTCATCGAATCGTTCTCAATTCCACGTGGAGCTACAGTTCCCTCAACAATTTACTTTAGCAAACAACATAATATTAATAAGAAAAAACGAAATAGTAGTGCTGGCATGAAGAAAACATCAATAAGAATGAAGGGGAAAACTAAAGATTACTGACATTTACATTGGGCTTCAGAATTGAGCATGATGTGGGACTGGGAGAGACACAAAAGCAAGCACTGACATTTTTGTTAAGACAGTTACTTGCATCACTTAATTGCAACTTATTCTTCACCATACAAATAGCTAGGACTGTTCCTGGTAGGTAGGTTTCAAAAATTGTTGATGAAGAGGAAAAAAAAGTAGAAAGAGATTTTCTCCAAACATGTCAGTGTAATCCAAGTAGAATTAGCCATGTGGAAAAGGGTGGTTTTGGTGTCCTCATCTTCTGTCCCCCTTCATCTCTATCTCCATTTGCTTAAGTGTTATACAACTCAAGCCTTGCAAGGAAGATTTTCTTTCCGATGGACATTTCCATGTGATTCCATTAGGCCCATGCTTTTAATGCAGTCAGCAACTGCTCTTGTAATAACAAGCCATCCTCCGCCTTGTCTTTTTGGATTCATTCTTTAATCAATGGAGATTTTCAAGTCCGGAGTGATTGGTAATTGAATTAAGTAATGAAGAAGGTAGGGAGTCGGGGGAAAACCCTGTGAGTGAATGTTCAAATCTTCTCTTCAGGCAGCCATGAGCAAACAGAACAGGGACATCCTACTCCCTGAGACAAGTTCAATGAATGTTGGACGCGTGGGCAGTTAATGCACCGCCTGATCTGCCCAACATAATCCCTCCTCGTTTAGCCAAATACAGCGTTCAGTTCAATTTTGACATGGGATCAAACTCCAACCCTCGAGCTCGACCGTAGCTGGAGGCAACTCCCTTGGACTTCTAACTTTCTTCCCTAGTAGGTGTAAGTTGTCAGGATTTAGGAGTAAGTTTTTTGAATGCCAGGCCTATTGGAGAGTTGCAATTTTGCACCTAGCACGTATTTGATCACAACCCTAATTAGTGTTTTGGATGCCAAGCCAACTGGGGAGTTGCAATTTTGCACCTAACATGTATTTGATCACAACCCTAGATAAATTAATTGTATAGAGAGTTGCAATTGTGATAATTTACTTCTCAATCTCAAAAGAAAGTACAGAGAATTGTGGTAATTGCTTTCATCAATCATGATTTTTAATCCCAATATTCAATCACAATCATAATACTAAATTTGGCTCTTAGCTTCTTTTTGGAACTTAATGCATGCCACACGTCAAAGGTTCCATATAAGTTCACTATAAAAAAAAAAGGTTTTATGATAAAATTACCACAGTTGTCTACAAATTTTAAATTTCTATCGATAAAAATATTAAATTTGATAATAATTGGTTGTTTTTGTTTAATGAAATATAGAATTATTATATTTAAGAATTTAATTCGTGTGTCTGTATCTTCTACTTCAAGAATCAAGTTTGAATTATATATATAAATATATATAATTAGGATATCTATTTAATGATAAAAAGGTTTACATTTACAGCAATATGTGAGAACAATTACTAATTATAGATTAATATATCCGTACGTAAGTACTTGATTCATTGATTGGTGTATAATTTTTTTTTTAAAAAGTAAGATTCAAATTTTTTTTTCTAATTTATATATATATATATATATATATAACGTCAAAACTACACATTTGGATGAATTTAATTGATCATATTTAGGATCATCAATTTGAAAGAGTAGATATGGATTTTATTTGTTTTATAAATTGTGAAAATGAAATGCACATTTACCTATATATTTGAAAGAGTATAACTACAAAATGTATTTCGGATTCACAAATTTACAATTAAATGAGGACTTAATAAATTTATTAATTTGAAAATAACCATCATCAAAATCATGTTTACATGTGTGTGTCACATAATTTATATAAAATTTAAAATTCAAATTTTTTTTTTCAAATTCAAGTTACCAAATGCAACTTCTACAGGATAACCAAAATCCTACCATTATAACATCATAGATGGCAAAATGCCAAGTCTAGCATATTGAAATCGAATGAACTCAGACGTTTTTGTATTTTTTTATTTAGTGAAAGAGTAATTCAAGTTTCTAATCAATTTCATTTGTTTTTTTATGAGTAAGAGATAGATACATACATACATTAGTGCTCAAGTAAAATATGCTTAAGTGTGTAACTTTATCAATCAATGTTAATGCTGTACTTAATTGAAAGGATTTATACCTGCCGAAGAAATTTGGAATGCATTTAAGGAATCCTTCCCACGATAATTACGGGTTAAATCAGATTATCGTATAAAAATGATCAAATTCAAAATTAAAAAAAAATGAAATCGTTTAAAAAATTTTCAAATTGGACGTTTTAAAAAAGAAAACGCAGTTTATAATTAAGAAAAGAGTGAGCAATACTAGCTAACTAAAGATATTCAACAAACTTTCATACGTTATAAAAAAAAACTACAAATTGGTGCAAGCTGATGCCTGTCAATTCAAATACAAAGTCCCAGTCTAAAATCAAAGCTCAGTGCATTATTGGAAGCCTTACCCTTTTTTTCCTCATTTAAATTGGTTAGTGTCCAAAGGAAAGCAACACCTGATTAAAGCTAAGCAAGTTGAAATTCTTACTGCTTGCTTCAGATCCGACATGTGATTACTCAGACTTGGGGGTTTGTCCGTCGGATTGGTAATTCCATCCATCGGCCTCTGTCAATATCAGCAGCTAGCGCTGTTAGCCCCTCAAGTTTCGTGGCCACAAGCTCAGGGATGCGCTGTAACAACCAATCCAGATTTCCGACCCTACAATTCAGGGAGCGAAGACAGCTGCTAGCCACTGTCACTCTCAAAGAGGGTTCCAACACCCCATGCATGCACGAGCTCATGAACCCTAAAAGCGGATCTTCACATTTTTTTCCTTGTCCTGTTAATCAATCCAGCTTGATATATACAAGTTGCTCCTAAGGCGTCGCCATCATCGTATTCAAGGAAGAGAAATCAACGGATTAAGCCAGCAAAAGACATAGCTAGCTCGATTTGATTGCCACTATGTACAAATGTATCTTTGGATTTGGACCCCCTCCCAAGTTAATTTGTTGCCTTCTCTCTTTTTTTCCTTCCATTTACAAAGTTCCATGGCATACTACTGTTGATGCTTTTACTATTCTTATATTATCATCATGTTAAAGTATCACTATCAAAAAGACAAAGATGTATGCACCGTTCTTATCCAACCTATTAATTAATTTTTTCTTTTTTTTTATCTCAAAAATATAGTTGACTCACCATTCAAAATTCAAGGTTTAATTATAACAGAAAAAAGTGTTCATACTTAACATTATTGTAATCACTAAAGCCACATTATTTGAATCTTAAAAAGGGTAGGATCAGTACTAAAAGGTGATGATTTCAGGCAAAATCATGATTGATAGTGATTGACAGAAGAAGGATTTGTATATATAATTAATAGTTCATGCATGCCATGGTAAAGCAAACAAAGACTATCAAAATATTTTATATGCACTCATAATTGATGTCTTTGGCAATGAATATAGGTTCATTGTATTTTTTAATGGTGGAAGTTCCAATATTTGTCTCATCTAGCTGGATAAATATATGGCAGCTAAGTTCAAATCAGTACCCTTGGATTCACTATGGATATTAATTAATTGTTACAATTTTCATAAAAAGAAAGTTTTGCAATTACTGAAAAAAAAAATGATAAGAAAAAGATGTATTCTAACATTTAGTTCATTGATTAATATATTTTTTATTTTTTATATAAAAAATAAAAAAAAAAACGTTCATCAAGTCCTCGTGTGTACATATCAATTTGGACTTTCCACTTTGTAACATATATATATAAAGCCACAAGTAAAATTCTTATGAAACCTATATAATTCTTGGTGATAGAACTTTAAATAAACACAGTTAAGCAAAAGGGCAGAGCTTCCCTATACCTTTTTTTTTTTTTAAATATTGATTTTGTATCTTGCTATTTTTCTTTCCCCAATTGCACCGCCGACCAGGATATAAACCTTGAACAACCAAATTTGGATTCCCAAATTCATACATGTACAAACTAAAAATTTTTTGTCCCAATCTACCAAAAGAAAATTAAAATGCCCTTTTGATTAAATTGAAGTAATGGCATAACTATGCAGTGGTGTAGATCTAAAATTAAGACCAGAAAAAAAAAAAAAAAGAGAGGAGAGAACAAAATTCCAAAAAAGAGAAAGGACAAAAGGACAAGGCCCCCATAATTTCCTGCATAAGCTCGGTCATCCACATGCAGGTGATCACAAGGGGATGAGGCTGAGATTCAGGTCGGCCCATTTTGCTAATTTTTTTTTTCTCTGTATTACGCTTTTATATATTATTATTATTATTATGTAAAATATGAATGTAGTATATTAAAGTGATATGGGCCCACGTTCTCGTTTCTGCATGGAAGCCCAGAAACAAGCCACAATCCCCCTCGCTTCGAGTTTTAGGGTTTGGAATAGGTCAGCTGGGATTTTCAGATTTTCAGTCTTCCCTCTCTTGCGGGTCCCAACTCCACCATCCTGTAGTCAGTTTGCCCCACTGCTCCTCGTGCTATGTTTCTTCTTCTTGTTGCACATCTTTTCCACTACGTTATGCAGGATTTTCTGCTACTTTGTCCTGATTTAAAGGGTATTTTTATCATTCAAACATATATATATATAATATAATATAATATAGACTCGAGTATTAAATCTCTTCTTCTCTGTACTAATCACATTCTTTTCTTGCCACACCATTTTGAATGACTCATTGTTTCTTCGTAGAACTAATTAGGATTATGGGGTTTGACTCCTCTATCATGACTCAATTTTATTATGTATAAATAAAATTTCTTTTTTCTAAACAAAAGGGTATCACTTGTCAACAAAGTTTGGATTTGATCCTTCATTGCGTTTAGATATATCTATTAAAAGGTCATTCAATAATACATTAGCCAAAAGAAGTAAAGAAAAGATTGAAGAGGAGGGTAAGGGGCAATGACAAGGGAAATGGGGAGGAGCTGTTAGAACGCTTTTGTTATGAAGCGAGTCCGATGCATCATTCTCCCGTTCCAGTTCACTCTTATCTTGTGTGAACTCAACCGAAAGGATGACGTCCACCAAACACTCGGGAACTTAGCTTCCTCAAATCATGACATCTGGCCTTTTGCAGATGGATTAATTCATCAGCAGACACTGGCAAATGGAAGCCACTTTCAATGGGCCCCAGTGCTACTCTCCGCATGAGATAAAATCCAAGCAAAATGTTATATAATATACAACCTTTTTCCCCTTTCTTATGATGCGAAAAGACTATTCCAGCCTCCCGAGAACAATAAATCACATGCAATTATCATCAGTTTTTTGAGCCCCGTTTTTACTTTTCATATTCTTTCCACGTAATACTCGAATTCTATGTAATGCAATCTAAACTCATATCCAATTCAAAAAACTAATATTTGAAAATTTTTTAAAACTATTAAATATATTTAAATAAAATTTTTATTACATTTAATTAAATTTTTATACTTTATTTTAAATTTAATAAATTTTATAATTAATAATTAATTAATTATAATTAATTAAAATATTAATTATTATTTTTTACTGACATGATCTTGATTTTGAAAATAAAATTATCTCATGATCATGTCATAATATCTTATCAGTATATGACATCACCATCTATGTCACCTGTATAATGTCAACGTCATATAGTATAGAATAATAAGAGGCATTTTCATTAGTAATAATTATTCAATCAATAATTATAAGAGTTTATTTAATTTAAAATAAAAACACATGAGTTTAATTGAAAATAATAAAAAATAAATATTTATTTAATTTTTTTTAAAATAATTCAATAATACTTTTAAATATTATGTAAAAAAATAAAAATATTTTAGAAATCTTTTGTAATGAGGCACAATATTTCTCTACGGGCACACGGTATGCTTTGCAGCATAATACAACAAAATCAAATCATGTTAATCACCAGATTAATACACCCCCATTTATATGTAGGCAAGAAGTCCGCATTTGACATTCATAATTCCGTTAATAATATGATTATATAATAAGGTTAATTAATGATTTCGATTTTAGATATATGGTCAAATTAGCTTCATGGTTATAACTGATTAAACTCGTCACCTTCTCAAAAAGACTCGTTAATTAATTGGCATTACTAATTCATTGTCCATGCCATGTGATTTGGCTGTGTACCATATTTTTGGGCACTTTTTGGCTATTAAGTTAGCTTTGAAAAACATTCCTTAAAGGGTGTATACTTAATTAACTCAAACGTTGAATATGAGTATACTTAATTAAATCAATTAATGACAAAGTTGTTCGGTATCGGAAAGCATTCCATATCAGGAGCAGAGGGTTGTGTAATTATGAGGCTGTGGTCTTCAAAATTTTTAAAATATTTTGTATATTATATATTTAAAATATTAATTCATATTATCATTATAAAAATACTATAAAAAATGAGTAAAAAATCAAAAAATCAAAAAAAATTATCACTTGATTGATATATTAATTTATCTTGTTTTAGTTTTTTCAATTTCTACAACAATTACAAAAAGAGTTTTTCAAGAGACTTCATAACAAAATGATTTTAATTTTTTACAATTAATTTAATTATTTATATTGAAAAAAGATAATACCAATCTTTTCACTACATATTAAGAACTTTTTATTGGTATACATACCTATAGAGATTCTTTGAATTTTAGATTATTTAGACTCTATTTTGTTGATATTTTTGTGTACTATTTATTTTTTATTTATTGTTTAAAAAAAACAAAAATATTAATCAAACGAGTCTTAAAAGCTTAACCCATTCTATCATACAATTCAAATCGATAAGTAACTATTTATCAAAAATCAATGATTCCACATAAATAGGAAACAAAGTGAACGGGATGATGAATGTATATTTAGTACCATGTTCTAATTAATTAATGACAAAACAAAACTAATCCAACCATCAACTGACAAAAATGTCCTCGGCATCAAATGAGAGTTTAAGCTCAAGATGTCACGGCCTTGCATGCGTTGCAACAGCTTAGGGAGTGAAACCATGTGACATTGAACAGCTTTTGTCCTTACCATCCACCAGAGCAACTCAAGGAGCAATTACGTCATCAGAAAAACCCCACGTGAAGATACATTCACCAATGTCAACTTCGTTATTCTGCTTAAAGCGAAGGGGTTTCTTATAACCGAGCATGCATATAAGCCCCATTCTCAACCTCTGTTTTGCCCTGAGCAACTTAAAGTTGCATCTCTCTGTTTTGTTTTCTCTCTCTCTCTTGGAAAGTACACTAAGACTTAACAGCATGCGAGGGGTCATCTTATTGTCGGTGCTCCTTTGCGCCACCTGCCATCTCGCCCTTTCCGCAACCAATGGCACGGCAGCGAGGAACGGTACTGTGGCAGACGGTAAGAATACTCGTGCATGCATATCTGTTTATATACATGAAAATATGTATATATACACATGTATGCCTGCCACGAACTATTAAATTTGTTACTATGGTTCCCAGCAGCTTGAGCTTTGCAGAAAAATAGTTTTTCTCTTAGTATGAAATTAGAGCTTTCTTTTTCAAAAAAAAAAAAATTCTCGTTTCGTCTCTTCGTTTTTGCTTTGGAGAGAAGTTGTAGTACGGGCTAAGAAACCTTAATGACAACACCTTGTTTATGGTTTTTATATTAAATTTCTTGCTTGGGTGATCACCATGTGTTCTGGTTTAAGCAGATGTTCTTAGCTGGTTGCTTTGTTTGGTTCCAAAATCTTCGTCTTAAATACTTTCAACCTGTTGTTGCTTATGCCTCTTGACCTCCTTTGAGCTGAGTTCAGAGGAATGTAAGGATGGAAATTGGTATTTTTGGTTGGTACAAGAAATGTTATTAAGTTAGTAGACTTAGTTGTTGCATATTAATTTGTCATATATAAAACCACAAGACAATTCCTGCTAGGATTTGAAAGACCAAGCGTAGGTCGAGAATGACCAATATGACATTACTATTATGATATTTTTGTTCTTTGCGGAGGGTATTTTGAGGTCATTTGGATATGATGACTCAAAATTCATGACTATGGTCTAGCTGCAGGGTTTTCAGGGCAATTTTGCAGAAATCCTCAAGAACAGAAAATCTTTTTCCTTAAGCAAGGCCTGGTTGAATCAACCTATTTTATATATAGGAGCAGATTTTTTGGAACGGTCATGATAAATTCTGGTGATGGACCACTGGTCAGTTTGAGCTGGAGTTTGCACATGATGCATGTTAAAATTCAGTATTAGCATCAATGGTTGCAAGCAGTAAATAGCTTGTTATGGCCTTATGGTTTACTATTTTTAGCAAAGATGCCAAAAGTTTGCTGAACAAGTTTCTGTTTTTTGATTTCCTTTGGTTTTGAATGAAGACATTTTCACGTTCAATATACTGAATACTCACTGAAACATCTTTCTATAACTCTATCTGTTCTTTTGGGGACCACTAAGATTCATGATTGAAGAAACTATAATAAAGTGAGCTCTTGAAGTCTAATTCCATTTTCAATTTTGCTGTATAGCAAGCACAAAGACATTGGCTTTTTAAACATGGAAGAATGGGAGGTTGGGTTTTAACGTTTTGTCTTTCTATGATGATTGAATCCAGGGCTACTAGATAATGGTAACTTTGAGAGCGCCCCAAATGCAACAAACATGAAGGGAACCGTGGTTGTGGGGCGCTACGCAATACCAGGATGGATAAATGAGGGCTTTGTGGAATACATAAAGTCTGGGCAAAAGCAAGGGGACATGTTGCTGGTGGTGCCCGAAGGGGCGTATGCAGTCAGGCTAGGAAACGAGGCATCCATCAAGCAGGCAATAAAGGTGATCGTAGGGCTGTACTACTCCATCACATTCAGTGCAGCTCGGACTTGTGCTCAAGAGGAGAGGTTGAACGTCACGGTGGCGCCGGATTCCGGTGTGCTGCCCATCCAAACGGTGTATAGCAGCAACGGTTGGGACAGTTATGCATGGGCATTCAAAGCAATAGCTGCTGTAATAGAATTGATTATTCATAATACAGGAAAGGAGGAAGATCCAGCTTGCGGACCCCTCATTGATGCTGTTGCTATCAAGGCTTTATATCCTCCCAGAGCAACCAACAGTAAGTCTTCTTTTCACCTTGAATTACTGTGTGTTTTAAGTTAGACCTGATTGAAATTTGGTTTTTCACTCGGGGGAATTCACATATGTAAAAATTTGATAGCAGTCTTTTTCTGCTATCTTTTTGTGGGACATGAAGCAACTGGCAAAAGTAAATGTTGTATGTTGTGTGGGGTACAATGATGAGGGAGACTGACCAAATTATAGGTCCTGCTGGAGGGACATATGCTAATGTTAGGAAGTGCTAGCTATACAGCATTTTCAAAACAAAACTTGCATTCATTTGGTTAATCAGGACCAGTGCATTTAGCACTCTGATTCTGTTAATTGATGTGTAGAAATCCGGTTAGAAACTGTGGTGTAGGTTTCCCCTTTCCTTAAAGCCATCGTTCATGGTGAAAATAGGATTAACTTTTATGTATTTCACACATCATTAAGAACATTAAATTATTTCATGGTGATGTTGCCAAAATGACAGTAGTGAAAATTTGAAAGAACAGGAGCGAAATTTGAATTTGAGATATTGCTATGACAACAACAGTGTGGCCACCGGTTTCAAGTTATGATTCAGCCAGCTGATCAAACAGACAATTCCATCTAGAAACTAGTGCAATACCTACCACCTCGGTCGCATTTCAAATGACATTGAATGCTATTCTTTACCTATAAATAAATTAATTTTGGTTTCAAACACAGTTTTAATTGTAGATGGATGTGATAACATAGAAATTAAGATTAATTAAGACTGTTAGTAATGACGACTAATTTGGCAATTTAATTTTCTATTTCTGCAGAGAACATACTGAAAAACGCAGGTTTCGAAGAAGGTGCATATATATTCCCCAACACTCCATGGGGTGTCCTAATCCCACCCAACATCGAAGATGATCACTCTCCTCTCCCTGGATGGATGGTCGAATCCCTCAAGGCCGTCAAGTACATCGACTCAGACCATTACTTTGTGCCTCAAGGGCGAAGAGCAGTGGAGCTAGTCGCTGGGAAAGAGAGTGCTATTGCTCAAATAGCAAGAACCACCATTGGCAAAACATACAGACTCTCCTTCTCCGTAGGGGATGCTAACAATTCTTGTGTAGGTTCTATGGTTGTGGAGGCATTCGCCGGCAAAGACACGCTCAAAGTTCCCTACGAGTCAAAGGGCACAGGTGGATTCAAGCGAGCTGTGCTTACATTCTTGGCTGTTTCCACCAGGACAAGAGTCATGTTCCTCAGCACCTTTTACACTATGAGGAGTGATGACTTCTCTTCTCTATGCGGCCCCGTCGTTGACGATGTGAAGTTATTGAGTGTCCATCAACCTTGATCACGATCAACCTCTCTCAAGGCTGTTGATGAAGCAAGTCGGATATGACCTAGATTTGGATATATCCAATCTTTTGCTATACTATGAATGTTTTCTTTTTATGGGCATGGCATGGCAAATAAAGGGTTTTCGTGTCAGCTTTAGCATTTTAATCCAGCAAAATAAGAGTATATATATATATATACAATATATCAGGATAGTATACTAGTGTGATTTTATTACGTGTTTACGTATTTTAGCATAATAAACGATAAAAAAATTATTAACTATTCATTTCTGCTTTTTTCTAGATTATATTGTTAACATGATTTTCTAGTACTGCTTAAACGATGCATACAATTTGTGTAGTCAAATGTAAGTTTTAGTTATAACAAATTAATATACTATAATATAAGCAATTATGAATTTTGACTGAATAAATAAAAAATATTATATAACATTTAAACATTTATTTAATTCATTAATTGACGTATAATTTCTATTTGTAAAGCAAAGTTCAAATTTCTCTTTTTTTAATTAAAAAAAATTACAAGTATGTGATAAAACAAGGATCTAGAAATTATGGAATCCGTTAGAAATAAAGTACTTCTTAAAACATAATTGTTATGAACTAAATAAAAAAAGTAATTTTGCAATAAGCTCCATCTCCATCTATTTACACACCAGGAATGACGTTCTTCTCCTAGAAAAACAAAATACACAAAGTCTAAAATATTTTTAATCAATATATATAATGAGGAGAGATGATGTTACATCGGTGTAAAAGTAATCAAGTTTTACACTTCTTTATACCTTCATGTATGATTATACATGTTAAAAAATTAACAAACTATTTTTAATGACAGATCCCACTTGAACAAAAAAAGAGCATGATAGGGAGAGTACCAGCGCTGGAATAAGGACCGGGATGGTGGCTAGGGTTACCAATCAGGACATCAAAGGGAGGACTGGAAGGCTAAGCTTCACACCGTTTATGTCAATAAGCTCAGTATAAGGGTGACCTGGAAAGCTATATATGAGGTTTTCAGCTTATTCCGTGAGGTCATGGAAGTGTACATCCAAGTTCAGAAGGGAAGAAGACAGGTGAAGGATTATGCCTTTGCATTAATTAGATACAAGGAGATAGCTGAAATGAATGCTGCTATACTGAGAAGGAATAACAGGGTAATCCACAGTAGATGTATTGCGGTGAAAAGACCTAGCTTGGCAGAAGGCTTGGTAGTCAGAATAGCTCTCAAGTGAGAAGGGACATGGGAAGAGAAGGAGCTAGAGACAAAACGTTATTATTCCTACAAGGAGGTGCAAGCTAGTGATACAAGGATGGTTAACAGGCCGGCAATGGTGAAAACAGGCCAAACAGAGTAGCAAATGTGGTACTCCCAACTGCCAACAGAACTACTTGAAAGTTGACAGTGAAGGGCAGTGTGAAGTAAGTGGTCATGAGGGGAAGCAGCTGACCTTCAACAGGACGTTACCCCAAGCGGATATGGACTGGCTAAATCAGTCTGTAATGGGAAGACTACACAAAAGTGTGTAATATGAGATGGTACAAGAGGCACTAGTCCATAAAGAAATACATGCAGAGGTAAGACCAGCCGGGGGCCTCAATGTGGCTCTGATTTCTGTTGATAAAGGGGAAATGGTGGAGTTACTGGAGAACTATAAAGAGGTTTTTGTTGAAAGGTTTGAATGTTTGTACCCAAAAGAGAAGCCACTGCAAAACTCAACAAAACTATACATTGCCAATTCCAATGCATTTCCAGCCAGTCCAGAGCCCCCACACTATCATGCATCCATAGCCACCTTAAACCAAAGGTAACTTTCACTCTGCATCCTCAAATGCATGGCAGTCCAACATGCCTTGTCTCTTTGCAGCTGACAGCTATTTCTCAGCACTTTCCCAGCTGGATTGAAACATGGAACACTTTGAAGCAATAATTTGCCGGTTATTTAAGCACATGAAACTCCAGAAAGAGAATTTTCTCCCTTAGCTTTTCCATTTATAAGTACGTCATAAGTACTGGCATCAGGTACGAGACCTCTATCAAGCATTTCATTATGCAATCTCAAAGCCTCTTCTAAATTCCCTTCCTTAAAGTGTCCAGCAATCAAAGTATTATAAATAAGAACACTAGGAGTCATACCCTTTCTGTCCATCTCTTCTAAAATCTTGCGAGCATTCTCAAGCTGTCCTTTATTACAAAGACCATTTAGCAGAACAGTATAAGTGATTATATCAGGCTCAATGCCCTTGGCAAGCATCTCTGAGTAAAGATCAAATGCAAAGTGTAATTTACCCTCTCTTAACAATCCATCAATCAGTGTAGTGTACGTTTGCAGATCACAAGGAATTCCCTCATTTATCATTTTCTTGTGCAAGTCAAGAGCAGCTTCTATGTTATTTACATTCCTAAACCCACGAATCATGCTGTTATAAACAATCACATTGGGAGATAACCCAACTTGTTGGAGTTCAGAGAAAAGCTCACATGCTCCATCCATGTCTTGCTTCTTGCAAAACCCATCAATGAGGGCACTGAATGCAGGAACATCCAATCGAAGACCCTTGCTTTTCATCTCATATTGCATTTTCAGAGCAAGATCAATGTTATTGCTTTTGCAAAACCCATTAATCAAGGTGGTGTAGGTGACAACATTGGGAGAAAGCCCACTTTCACACATTTCTCTATAAACTGCCAAAGCAGAGTTCATGGCACCCTCCTTAACAAACCCATTAATAATGCTATTGTATGTCAAACACATAGGGATAAAACCCTTATCAACAAACTTCTTCAGCATATCCCTTGCCTCAGATGTACAACCAACTTTGGCCAAACCATTAATGATTATGTTGAATGTGAAGTCTGAGGGAGCAATATTCACGCCCACCATTTCATCAAACACATCTAAGGCCTGTTCAGCATCACCTTTTTTGAAATGTCCATCCATTAATATGGTATATGTGATGACAGTAGGTTTAATGCCCCGATCAAGCATCTCTGAAACGACAGTATGTGCCATATCCATATTCCCTGCTCTAGAGTGGGCAAGTATCATGTTATTGTAAGAAGCATAAGTAGGTACCACGCCATTATCCTCCATTCTCTGCCATAAACTGCAGGCTTCATTCACCTTACCATCATTACAGAAATGGTGTAAGAGAACATTATATGTAAAAACATTGGCAATGCCAGACTCAACTGCCTCATCAAACAAATTGGATGCCTCTTTCAATGAGCAAGCTTCTAAGAATCCACGAATCAAGGAATTCACATTAAAAACAGTAGGTTGAATATCCATGAGTTTCATTTCTGTATAAAGCTCATATGCCTTTTTCACATTCTGATTCCTACAACACCATTCAATCAGAACTGCATAGGTAACCTTGTTAGGAGTAAGCCCATCCTCCTTAATCTTATTAAATAGACATAAAGAACTACCAATATCACCTTGCTTACAATATCCCTTCATTAAGCTAGTAGCAACCACCAAATTCAACTGCTTCCCACAACTCAACATCTCATCTTTGAGCCTTAACGCCTCTGCCAAATTTCCCTGCTTCACAAAAGCCCCAATAACAGTTGTAAACGTACCCTCAGAAGGAACCCATCCTCTATCCCTCATTTCCCTCAATAACCTTCCAGCCATATTCAAATCAGGTTTCTGACAAGAAGCCTGAATAGCAATACTATAAACTGCAGCATCAAGTTCCATCCCTCTAGCCTTAGCCTCCTTGAAAAACTCCTCTGCTTCCCAAGGCTTCCCTTCTTTCAAAAATGCACGCATCATCAAAAGAACTGTAACACGATCACCTCTAACTCCTATGGAAACCATCTTATCATACAACTCCCTCGCTTTATCGATCAAATTCCCCCTAACCAATGCTGTTAAAAGAATATTCATAAAGGGTAACATAGGAACTATATCATGCTCAATCATTCCATTGAAACAATCCACAGCATCATCAATCCTAACTCTAACATAACTATTCAACAAGTAATTAAAAACCCGCAAATCCAATTCAAAATCAAACCTTTTTGCTATATCGATCAAGTGATCTAAAAAAACAATAGGGGCAGGTCCTGAATCGCCTGCAACAAATCTATTAAGCAAATATTTAACTTGTTTATTAGTCTGTGGGGATCCTACCAAAATGTGAAGCAGAACGCAAAACACATCGATGCTTCGGACAAAACCCCGCTTATTTTCAACAAAACGGAAGTACTTCAAAGCCAATTCCGGATCATTTCTGTGGATCAGAAGAGTGTTGATAACATGGGTTCGGGTCAGGCTTGTATCTTGTGTTAAGGATGGTGTTAAACGGGGGTCTTCGGGTGTGGGCGGGATGAGGCTTCCGGGACTATTGGAACCTGAAATGGATTTACTGGGACAGTGGGAATCTGAGGTGACTTTCTCGAGAAAATTGGTGTTTGGGTTGGGATTCCGGGGAACTGGTGTTTGAGGGTTAGAGCAGAGGTATTTGGGGCTTGGAAAAGAACGGAGAAGGAAAGGTGAGATGGATGAAGAATTTTTTAGCGGAGCCCTCATTTCGCTCTGGGTTTGCCTTCGCTCGGTAGAGAAGAGTGGCAGAGCTCGTGTCAAAACCCTTGAGACGTTAAACCCTGAATTTGAACGGGAAGTGGAAAGTGAAAAACAAGGGGAGAAACTATGGATTGAGCTGGGCTCTTTCTAGTTAACGGCGTCGGGTTTCGGAATTGGGTCATATGTATATGTGAATTGGGTTCGTTTTGACCAGCAAATGGGGGACAGAATATAGTTTTGGTGATTAGACAAAAATGGCCCCAAATGACGATTCCAGGGTGCTTACCCTCGATCCGGGATTTGAACCAAGCCCTTCTCGAGCCGGAGAAAAGAAATCCGAGACTAGTTGAGATCATTTGGGTGAATAAACAGGTGAATGTATTCTTCTGTTTGAAGAGTTTGGGTGTAATTGTGATGGCACCACAGGGATAATAGATTAATAGTGGTAAGGCGGTGGCATCAATTGCACCATCCATTAAATGTGCTTAACCAGTAGTGAGCTATATCTGGGATCTCCCATGTTTCCTTCATCCATAATCGATGTAGTATTGTACCTGCTACGCTGTTTACTTCTCCTCATCTAGCTCAGTATTATTTTGTCATGCAAAGGATGCTGCGAAAGTGACCTCAAGGCATAGAGATTGTGAATACATATATAATAGCTCCCCATGCGTTCAGTGAATTATTTCTTCCAATAATGACAACTATGAACACTTACACAAGGAACATACCTAGTAAATTTAAGAAATTATAAATTTAGCTTCAAATGAGTTTATTCGAGGAAACAAAATCTAGTATTGTGCAAAGCATGGGTCACAACTACCTAATGACTATACAAGCTTAGGCTTCATTCATAATTGTGCAAAGCATTGGATCATTCAGTAATGGATTATAATTCTTCATCGACCTTTACAAAATAGATAGAAACTTGCAGAACTGCTGTTTCATTTATGAGATGACTCAGTAATGTTTTACTCAACAACAATAAGTAGCACTTGTTGCCTTCTAAACATGCCATGGCAAGTTTTTGCTGGCAAGTTAAAAATTACCTACCATCTATTAAGCGTACATCATTCTAAATACAATAAAAAATACAAAAGCTTTTCATCCCTCTAGATATGATGGGTATAATACAATTTCTACATCCCCTTGGACAGACCTCCCTCAGCTAACTTACCAATTAATTTCCTAAGGGGAACAAATCAGATACAAATAGGGACCACTCAGTCATCAGCTACTAGATTTTCAGACTGGATCTAAGTGGAGCCACAATGCCCTGTCTTGAGAACTTCAAACACTCACCCTTGAATAGAAAAAATGATCTGTATCTGGTGAACGGAGCTTTTGAGCTGAAAATCAGCATGGTTGGGCAAACAGATACTGAAGTAAGGGAGCAACAACAGCTGCACTCAGACTATTTCCCAGCATTGCATAACTACATCAAAAGAAAACAGATAACACCAATTTGTCAAAACAATACATACATTATCCACAGCAACATTCTTAAAAAGTTAAATATAGTAAAATCCAGCTCAATGAGAAAAACAGTCCTCAAGGATAACATCATACCGCTGTCTAAGGCTTATGTGCTTTGGAAACTGAAAATCCTTTGGAAAAGAATGCAAATTGGCAACCTAATCATTGTAAAAGGAAACTAGTTAGAATTTCTAAAATTTTTCATAAATGAGAACATAAAACCAGGAAAATCAATAGGTACATCAAAACACACATACCTCCCTAGGGGTAAAATATCTAAGGCACTGCTCCCTTAACGAAGATGCTTTCCCCTTTTTCTTTGGCTGCACATTGCCCATTCATAAATGTCATGCAAGAAAAGGGCAACACCAAGATAATGTTAAGATTTGCATTAAAGGTAACTGCACTGCAAATAAGATAAGAAACTGCCCCGCTGTCTACAATTGTTTGGTCCACTAATTACATTGAATATTTAGAAGTATATAAAGCAGTTAAGCATGAGCTTTGTATCATCTGATAAGCTGGACCTATAGCCTCAACTTTAAGTATACAATGATAGATGTTAGCATTCTAAGAAGGAAACTCTACCTGAACTGTTGCCAAGAGGGAGCCAGTACCTTTCACATATCGATAATAACTTTTTGTAAAACAACAGCATCGTTTCGAATCCGGGTAGACAATATCTAAATTTCATTAAAGATTACTTTAAGAAGAAAGAGATGATGCTCAGTAAATGCATTAGAGTTCAAGTGGGCATCAATAAAAATTAAACAATATCAAAAAGATACCCATAGCACTTCCCCACCTCTCAATTAGACTTAATGGAACTACAAACTGATCTACAGAGCTGAAATCAAGTGCATCTCCTTCAACAAATTCCTCAGAAGTTTCCAAACCATTTGCAGAAACATCAGTAGTCGCAAAAGAACTGGTCTCCAAGTCTACTAGATCCCTTGAAGACGTAAATTCAAGAAACTTCTCTATTGGTTGGCAAGACTCGATCAACTTATCCCAGTCCTCTTGTGATTGATCATATTCACCAATCACCATGTTCTCATTATTACCAAATAACCGGCCTGGAGACCAAAGAAGCTGGTTATTGAACACTTGGCACTGAAAAGATAAAGGCTTTCTTTTTGCCTGCAGAAATAAACCAGAAATTACACTAAATTCTTAAAACTTAAAAATTAAAAACTTATCACACCAAAAAAAAGAAAGAAAGAAAGAAGATAAAAGGAAACCTAAAGACTTCTCAAGTTTCTAGATAAAAAACCCAAGTTTCTAGCAACTATTAATTGGCACCACCTATTAGAACTTGTACAACAGTTCACACAATTTATTACCCGTATCAGCCTTCTCTCAAAATACTTGTCCTTGGTTTCAGATCTAAGCACACTTACACATTTACATGCAGGAATATTCAAGTTACGAACAAATTGGACAATACAAAATAACAGAAGTACTGAACGAAGCTCGACCATCAGTCAAAGTGAGCCCAATTTGCTTATTGAATTGTGCCATGCCAATATTTGCTGAAAACTTAAGCTATTGAATGACTGATAGAATATTCTAAATATAAGATATATATATATATATATATAGAGAGAGAGAGAGAGAGAGGTAGAGAGACCAAGCAAAAGTAACGTGGTCTAGAATAGGGAACACCAAATTGAAGTGGGCTCAATATAAACTCCTGTGTAACAAAATCAGATTTTGCCAATATTTCAACCATTTTTGCACGAGTATCTGAAGTCTGCAACATTTCCAGAGAGAGAGATCAGAAAGTGGAGAAGCAAGTAAAAGACCTCAAATTAAAAATTTGGATCATGTCGCAAATGCATTCTCAAGAACCATACCTCGAATCCAACAACATTTTCCACAAATAGCATAACTGGAGGTTTTAACATGCGTGTTATAAGTTCAAGAATATTAAGAAATGAAAATGCCCGAGCATCAGCAGAGTGCTTTTGAAGACCTAACAAAAAATAAAAGGGTTTCCCATGTTCACAGTGCTATTTATCAACTAATCAAAATAATCTATTTAAAGTGTAGTAAGCAACATTAGCAAGCTTCACCTTGTCTAGTGTAGGGTTGGCAAGGAGGGGAAAGAAGCCACACGTGTGCCTTATAGCTGTCGAGATCAGCATCAGTTAGGCTCTGAATGTTTCCCTGTCCCAACCACAATGTTCAGCATAGCATAAACATGTAAAAAAGTAGGAACTTCCATTGTTTGAGTGTCCTAAGACCAAAGCATGGAAACCAAACATGAAAATTTACAGTCAACTATAACCAGAACACAGTGAAAAGGACAAAACTAGATCGATTTTAAAAGAACAACAAGGGAATTTCAAATCAAAAACCATAATTCATAAATATATAAAATCAAGCAAGAAGACCCATCGAGAGAACCTGATAAGGGCGGTGACCGAAATTGTGTTGGTAAACATCATTAGCTTTATCGTTAATATCGAAGGCTTCGACTACTTGAGCGTTGACACCAGCTTTCATTAGCGAATACCTCTAAAACAAAAGTAAATATCTTACTCGCACCCATCAAGCACTAATTCAAAGAACAGAAAAAGGATTTAGAATTTTGGGGGTTTTAGGAGGGGTTTTAAGAGATACCAACCATGCCGCCAATGCCGCTGTAGAATTCTAATACTCGCCATGGCTCCTCTGCCCCTCTGCATATACTTTCCGCCATTTCTCTTTCTTCCCCAACACCGCCGCTTTTCTTGTCGGGTTTCTTGTTGTTTTTTAAGCTTCCCATCCGAAGTTCGGAGGGGAATTATCAAGGATGTAACCGTGGGTCAAATATGAGCATGAGATGAAATAAATCAAACATAATCTCAGGTGTAGTGTATTGTCTAAAGATACTAGATTTATATTACTAGGCCAATTTTACCATGACAGTATAAAAATGTCAATGTTCATCAACTATATAAGATATCTAAAATATATTTCAATATTAAAAATATTATATATTAATAATAAAATAATTAAAACTATATGTATAAAACAAAATTATCGTCCTACAAATATTTATCATACATAATAAAATTATGTCACATAAATAATTAAAATCATTCCCTCATCTTCCAACAATCCTCAACAAACAATATATAAACCACAAAGCTTAATTATCATCTCGTGATACAAGAAATTCTTTATTCTAAGGTTACCGTTCTTGACTATGAATATCCTTGCTTACGTCTCATACTCTATTAAATAATCAAAAATAGATGCAAAAGTTACCTTGTCAAATCCTTTTATATGCATCACTTGCTCATAAAAGAGGACAACATCAATTTTGCCATCACTTTTTTTTTTTTATGACAAAGTAAATCTCTCTCAATCTTTTTAACATTTTGTCAACTTCAATACTGGAATTGTGCAATCTTTTGCAATGAGATCGTGATAATGAAGTTCTAATTGATGAATGCTTGCCTCCCCTCTAACATATTCATCAACTTTATTTTCTAAGTGTGTGGGCATTTTATTAGTTTCAATGTTCTCTTTGAACTCTATATCGGCAAAAGATTTTGTGAAATTCCCAATTGTTATATTTTTTTCAACAATCAATATCATTTTATTATATATGTTAATTTTCTTGTTGATGAAAGGTATATACCTTTTTTTTTTTAAGTTGGAAAAATCTCTTTAAAGGCAGCTACCCTAAGGTTCATATTTAAAATGTATCTATTTCAATTTATTAACAATTTTTTTCTAACATATAATATGAAAATACTAATATAATAATTCAATAAGATATATGTACATATTGTCACTTCACTCTCACAAACTTATATAAATGCAATGATCATCTTTTAGTTGTCATCCCATCAAACCTAGTCCTAGATATAATTTTTGTAATAGTATTTTATGTAATTTTTATGATCCTAAATTGATTCTCCACTTAATTTTGCCTTTACATTGAACTATGAATTTTTCATCAACAACTTTCACGAAGGTAATGTGGATATTATCATGTTGTTGTGATGATCATTGACTTTACCAATTGTGATATTATAGTAATGTGGATATATTAAAATTAGAACATTGACATTACATACACGAAGGTAAAAAGTATGTACATCTAAATATATTAATATATACATAAACATTCCGATAGACATATATCTATTGAATCTCATTATATATGATGTAATTATGTTAAGATTCAAAAGTTAAAATTTTGCACGAAAAAGTAAAAAATATGTACATTCAAGCAAATTAATATCTAAATGTATGTTCTACGATATACACATAGGTTAAACTTCACAATGTATGGTGTGATGTGTTGGGATAGGCCAGCCATGCATTCCAATGCATTAGAAAAGAAAATTACACAACAAAAACAAATAAAACATATAATACCGGCCTTACCCACCCAAGGTCATCTTCAAAGGTCTCTTGATTATCATCAAGCATATAATCATAGATCATTACTTTTCTACTTAAAGAAAGTTAGATTCTTAATCTAAAACCCCGAATAGCTTTTTGCATTGACCTCACACCTAGTTCGGTTGTTACAAACCAAAACTGTCCAAAAGACTCTTGTGCAGTCTCTAACGAAAATCCACATAATAATTATCAGAAACTTTACGTTAGGATCGGATTGTTAAACCTTACTATGTGCTAGCAAAGTAGTGCTCATAACACTTTTCTCTAAAGGAAAAAGAAAGAAAAAACGTTTGGCCGAATAGTCAAGAAGAAAATCGATTTTCTGCTTTGTACTCACTACAGGCAGCACACACTAATTGGCTGGTTTTTCTTTTCTTTTTCTTCTCATTTAAAATTAGGCTTGTAGCAAGGTTTGTATAATTGGATTAATTTCTGTCCTAATTAGGTTAATTGTATAATTTTTATATAATTACAAATTAATCTAATAATTTAATTAAATAATTTTAATTAAGTCCTTAAAAATTTATAATTTGTTACTCAAATAATGATTACATTAATCAATAACACTAAACATATATATATTCTTAATCAATTAAGTCTATAATTAATTGATTAAGTTTAAAAGCTCACAAGTCTTTAATTAATTAAGTCCAACTTAATTAATATGGATGATTAGTGGTTGGATCGACACTCTAGGGAACATGTAGGCTTGGTTTAGATAGTGTGAACTTAAAATGGTTACGCAGATGGGATCCGACTTCGGTCCATAAGAAATGGGCCCCAAGGATACAGTGAGCTCGGTTCAATGAAAAAGGCCGAAGGGGAGGAGGAGAAAACATGGAGGTCATTTTGAGGGAAAAGGAAGGGCAATCCAGGCCAGACCGAGCACACAAGTCGGGACAGTCCAGTAACTTCACAGCCCAGTAAAAGCAGCTAGGCCTAGGCTCCCCTTTTATTAAGCCGAAAGCCCACTAGGTTTTCAAAAAACGCCCTCTTCGTGTTCTCTCTTAATCGTCACTCACTCACTTTTTTCTGTGGCTCTGCATTTATCAGGTGACCTTTCTAGGGTTTCTGCTTCTCTTAGTTTCTCTTTCACTATTTCCTCCTGACTTTTAAAGAACTCATTTTAATTGCTCGTTTTAAGCCCAATATTACTGCGTGTATCTGATCCAAAAGCTACGTGGTTGTTTTTCCTTAAATGTCTCTTTAATTTACTGGTTTACATCAGTTTAGTTTTCTTCACTTTAATCTGTTTATGCATATTTAGTTTTTGTGTGATTTCCCGGTTTTTTAGTTCAAGTTTAAGATTGTATGTAATATATAAGCTTGTTTGTAAGGTTTTTTATTTGTTTGCTAATTCAGCTAGGCTTTTAGGTTTTCAGCTTGATTTTGTTATAATATTATTTTGACTAACTGTTTTCGGCTTGCGTGTGCTTTTGTGCTTTTGCTGGAAAGTGTGTTGTAACGGCCGTTGCTTTTCTTTTGATGATCTGGGATTCTGATCGAGTGCAATCATTCACTAGATGGTTAGGCTGAAGTTCTATTTTTTAGATCTGTAAAGTTGATTTTTTTTTCTGTCTTTTTGTGTTCTGTGCAATCGGTATGTTTTGAAATGCTAGGATGCATTGCACAACCTTGACTTAGGACGAAAGGGAATACTTGCCAAGCATGCTTGGTGCCTGCAATGCTCTTCATTTGCTTTTTGCCCAATGTTAACAGATGCTATTTATTGTGAAAATCACTTTTGTTACATTGATACCATGTGGAGGTGCTTTACGAAATATTGATTTCTCGACTAATGTTTTTAAAACATTGGATTGAAATGAGAGAAATGTTTTATGTAGGAACAAAAACTCCCTTCTGCTTTACTATTTGCTGTAATGAAGACTAGTGAATTTTGTGAATTCTTGCTGATGGAATTGGTGGTTTTGTTACTGACATGTGAATTTAATGTAATTTGAGCTAAAATCCATATTACTCTGCTGATTGCTCTTGCTGGTTGTTTGATCAGATTATTGGTTATACTGGCTTGAGTTCTGAATCTGGTGAAAATATGGCAAAGAAGAAGAATCCTTTAGTTTTTATGGATGTGTCGGTAGATGGTGATCCTGTTGAAAGGATGATTTTTGAGGTATTGTAATGAATGATAAAAGCAAGCCAACAAGATTTTACATTTTTTGCCTTGTCGCCACCTCTGTAATTTTGTTTTAAATTACCACACGTTGGCCTTTTTCTTAAGAGCATCTTTTTTGTTTGTATTTATTTGTTTTCTTTGGTTCTTCAGCTCTTTCCTGATATTGCTCCGAAAACTGCAGAAAATTTCCGTGCCCTTTGTACAGGTGATTAAATAAAATCTTCTCCAATATTTTCACTTTCTATTGTTTATGATGTTTTCTTTTACAACACATTGGTGTATAGGTTTTCACTCTGGCAGTTTTATTGTATTAAGAATAATTATTATTGTAAGTTTGTCGTTTATGATCTATCTTGTTTTCTTTTGAAGAAGCATTTGGTGGTTAGGGGTGGGGGAATTTTTGGGATTGTAATTTATCACTATCGTACATTCATACATAGACACACACAAACATTTATGCATGTATTTATATGTTAGCCTCTCGCTGTTTCCTAAGTCTGTCTTGATCTACAGGAGAAAAGGGCATTGGTCCTAAAACTGGAAAACCATTGCACTACAAGGGTTCCTTTTTCCATCGTGTTATTAAAGGTTCCATGGCCCAGGTTTGTTGGTTTATCTTACTTTAAATTTGCATTTTTTCTGTAGCTGTTTTCTTGTTGAATGTGGCTTAGAAGTGGTATGTCTTTTGGTCAGTTACTATTGTTTATGCTGTAGGAAACAGGGCTGATGGTCACGACTGCTTTTCTTGTGATGTAGTTTTAAGGTTGTACTTACCAAGTTGTCAATCCTCAAAATTTTACTAAACTTCGCCGTGTCCAACCCAGTTTTTTGCACGTAAATGTCTTTTTTCTTACTTGTGGACTAACATCTTGTGTGTGTTGTGCAGGGTGGTGATTTTGTGAGAAGAGATGGTATGTATTCCTCGCAGAGCCATTTTTATTTTATTTATTTTTGCGGCTGTTAATTTACTTTACTGTAGATAAGATCACTCTTGAGGGTTGTGCACAATGTGACTACTTGTTGAATCTGTTCTTGAACTGCACATCTGAGTTTTTAAATGTATTTCTTTCCTTCTTCAGGAACTAGTGGGGAAAGCATATATGATGGGAAGTTTCCAGGTGAGTGGTCTCTTCTCAGTCTTTTAAGGGTACAATCATAATTTAGGTTGTCTTATAACCAGGAAGAAACGATGAAAGGTTTTCTGTTTATTTAGTATTTTAAACTTCAATAATTTCCTGGGAATGATTTGAACCTTGTATTATTCATGTTATGCGCATGCTTTTGCTTTTGTAATTGCTGTGTTCATGTGAATTTAATTATATTCTAAGTAGATTATAATAATGTATATTCTGAAGTGCATTTCGTCTTGTACTCTACAGAAGTAAGCAAAATCACCAAAATTTCAATTTGTAATTATAATTTTGTTGCTAATTCATCTGTGTTCATTGTATGTAGTTCTGTACTCTTCCAAAGTGGTCAAAAGCACAAAGATTCATTCAATTTATAAGTGTGTTGCTAAAACGTGTGTGCCCAATGTAATATAAAATTTGACAATTTGATGTGGAGTTAATTAAAGTATGGTTTGAGGTTCTTTGTACTATGGTGAAGATTGTACTGAGTATGTGCTTTCCATGGCTCTAGATTTTTTTTGGAGTTATTTATGGTGTTATGGTTCTTTGTACTAGGAAGATGATTGTATCAAGTATGTACTTTCTCTGGCTCTTGATTTGCTAAAATTCCTGTGCCCTAAGTAATATGGAATTTGTTTTGGAGTTAATTAAAGTATGGTGTTAAGGTTCTTTGTACTAGGGAGAAGATTGTATCCAGAAGGTACTTACCATGGCCCTTGATTGGGGCCATTTGAGAGAGCAATATGCATTCTCCTAATCTCTGCACAAGCTTTGTTTTGCACTAAAATTGTATTGAGTATGTATTTTTCATGGCTCTTGATTTGGGCCTATCTGCTTATAAAAGGTTTTTTGAGAGAGCAATATAATATGCATTCTTCTAATCATCTGGAGTTGCCCCAAGAGAATTGATGGGTGCCAGTGTAATGACATGATGACTAAAAATCATTTAAAGACTGCATCAAATCCTAAATATTTATATGCAAATTATTCATCTAGAAAATATGTTGGCTGAAGGTGTACTATTTTTGCACAAATAATTGATTAGTAATAAGGGGGTATTTGCACTTACAGATGAATTGCCCAGGCTAAAGCATGACGGACCTGGTCTTTTATCTATGGCAATTGCTGATCGTGACACTGTAGGTTCACAATTCATTATCACCTTCAAGGCTAATCATAATCTTGACAGGTAGTTTCCTATCTTCTTTGTATAATTGTAATTTTATTTGGTGTCCCCCCTTTTCTATATGCCAGTCCTAAGTTTGTGTCCTTTTGGCATGTGACAGAAAATATGTAGTTTTTGGGAAGCTTGTGCAAGGAAATGAGGTGCTGAAGAAAATTGAAAATGTGGGTGATGAGGAAGGAATACTAACCGTAACAGTGAAAATAATTAATTGTGGTGAAGTTGGTGAAGGTAAAGGTCTTGGTGCCCCCACTGGAGGGTTGTATTTCTTAATATGGAATAACTTGATTTCATTTATTTTGCACCTGGCAATTTTTCTCCTTATTGATGCTCTGTTAGGCTTTTCACTTGTCTCTTTCTAATTTTGCCTTCCAATTTATCATCTTATCTGCAGAGAAAAAGAAAAATAAGTTGAAAACAGGAAAAGATGCTTCCTCTGATGCTAACAGTCATGAAGTGCGAAGGAAGGGAAAGCATAAGAAATCTTCAAGAGACAAAAGGAAGAAGAGAAGAAGATACTATTCATCTGATTCAGAGAGTTCCTCAGACTCTGAGACAGAATCATCTGAATCTGAAAGTGATTCTGACTCATATCTGTCATCATCCTCTGACATTAGTTCTTCAAGTGATGACAGGCATAAAAAGAGGAAGAGATCTTCAAAACGAGAAAAATATAGGCGTGGAAAAAGACGAGATAGACGGCGTGACAAAAAGAGAAAAAGGCGTGATAAGAGATCAAAGCGTAGATCAAGAAGGTTTTATGCTTACTATTCATTTATCCTTCGTACCAGTCTAGTTAATAAACTTGCCGAGTATTCTACTTGTTCGGCTACGTGTATGAGGGAACTCGAATCTTTTGGAAATGTAGTTGAAAATTGTTTGCTCCTGATACTGTTTTCTTTGCCTCCAATGCAATACATAAGATTTCTTCTTATTTCTGTCCTTATTCTGTGCAGCAGATTTTTTCTTTTTAATTGTTTTTTTTATTTGAGTGCATACGGTTGGTCATTGAGAAAAAAGGACCTGCATCTTGGTGAAGCAAGATTCACCATATGAGTTGTCTAATATTCTGGTATTTGATTTTCTTTAGTCATCATATGAGTTGCATATGTAAATCAATTATATAAAAAAATGCAGATCAATGATTAATATAATGAACAAGTTATACCACACAATAATATATTTTCCTATTTTTTCTTTGGAATTCTGTTGGTAACATGTGCCCTTGTTGAGCTAGCTCCACTATGTGTCTCTCACACACTTGGTGAAAATTTATTGAGAAAGAATCATGCTTTGTCTCCACTTGTAACAGTCAACACCTTAATCCATCTTGCATGGTTTTATCTGTTCAGTCTATGTTAAGGCAAAATTGGGATACAATGCCTCAAAGTCATGGATGGGCTGATTAGCTTTGTTAAACTTCTTGTAGAATATACTTAAACTATTCTATCCTCTTTGTTTTCAGGGCTTCTGATAGTCTTACAGATGATGACAGTGAGAGTAAAGGTGAAAGCAGCACTGATAATGATGTTGATGTGCAAGGAAAAGCGCAGAAGCATAAAGAGCTTTCTCAGAAAAGTGGTAAGGGTTGGAGTTCTTTTGTCTGTCTCCTGGCATTATGTTTTACTGCTTATCCTCTGTAATAATTTTTGCTTCCATCTTATCTGATCGCACCTGTTAGATGTATTGCTTATATAGTTGGTTTTTTTAACTGTGCAGTTATTGAGGTTGATATTTTTTGGTTGTAGCTGAATTTGAAATAGGGATCTGTTATTTCTTTTTCCCCTTGCTTGGAGTTTACTGTTTTCTTTGTTCTTGTGGTGCTTTCCCTAAATTTTGACTGGATAAGCTTTCTAGGAATATTTGACATGGCTGTGAATAACCTTTATTCCTTGGTTTTCTTTGTCCTTTTGCCTCCATAATGCTATTGTTTCATGAGCACCTGTCAAACAGGATAACAGCTTTCTTACGGATACTTGACATCGCCAGCAATGTACCCTACATTCTACATTATTCTCTCTCCCCCGTCCCCTCTTCTCCCCTACTCTACATAATGCTATTATCACACTACACCTGTCATATTAAAGATGTGGAACTTGGAAATTATCTACTCGCCTATAATCTGTCTTTGTGTGCGAAGGTCCTCTTATTCTGATAATTGGTTTGTGTTATTTAAAGGTTTTTGATTTGGTACCGCACTGTATTCATGGGTTGTTGACATTCTGCAGTTGGGAGTCAATCCCCTTCACCTGTCGAGAAAGAAATTCGTCTGAGAAAAAGGGAAGATGCTGATTTGCTTTCAAAGGAGCATGAAGCTCCCAAGGAAAATGGAGGGCGACGGAGCAATGGCATTGAAATAGATGCTCAATCTGACAGAAGTGCAGATAGACAACCTGATGTGGTAGATGATCACCCAAGCAAATCTAGGTCTACTTTCCATTTTTCTCACTCAGTTATTCTTTATACTTACCGTCTCTTCCCGATCTGGTATTTTATTCAAAGTTGATGAGCAGGAGTCGAAGCATGAGTCCTAAAAGGGCCATGAGTAAGAGTATGAGTATTAGTCCCAGGAGGAGTCCAAGCCGGAGCCCAAGTCTTAGCCCAAGGCGAAGTCTGAGCAGGAGTCCCCCACGTTGTCCAGAAAGAGGTGTAAGCAAGAGTCAGAGTCCTGTTAGAAGTAGGAGCAGGAGCCCTGCTAGAAGTGTCAGCAGAAGCCCTTTGAGGGGTAGAAAGAGTAGAAGCTTCAGCAGGAGCCCTGTTAGAGCACATTCTCGAAAAAGCATTAGCAGGAGCCCTGTAAGGTCTCGGTCTCGAAGAAGTCTGAGTAGGAGCCCTCCCAGATCAACAAGAAAATCAATTAGTAGAAGTCCTGTTAGACTTTCAAAAAGAAGCATAAGTAGAAGTCCAGCGAGATCTTCTCGGAGAAGCATTAGCAGAAGTCCTGTAAAATCTGCTCGGAGAAGCATAAGCAGAAGCCCTGTGAGATCGTCTCGGAGAAGTGTAAGTAGGAGCTCTGGCAGGGCTCCTCCAAGGAGAAGCATCAGCAGAAGTCCGTTAAGGGAACCAAGTAAGAATTATCGTCATAGTTATTCAAGGAGTCCTGCCAGGGCCCCTCCAAAGAGAAGCATCAGCAGAAGTCCATTAAGAGAACCGAGTAGAAATTATCGTCGTAGTTATTCCAGGAGCCCCACCCCTGCACGGAGGGTGAGGTCACCCCCTTCCAATCGAGGTAGAAGTTTATCAAGAAGCATTTCCCCTGATGCATCACCTAAGCGCATCAGAAGGGGTCGGGGTTTTAGTGAGCGCTACTCCTATGCACGAAGATACAGAACCCCCTCTCCAGATCGTTCTCCTGTGAGGTCCTATCGTTATGGTGGCAGAATTGATCGTGAGAGGTAGAAATTCCACCAGGTTCTTTTAAGTTGTTTTACCTTAAGTTTTTTTCTTTCCTAAAACCATATTATATTTTGACCACGGGTGGTTTTGCTGTTAATTGCCTACTAGGTATTCAAGTTACAGGAGGTATTCACCTAGGCGTTATCGAAGCCCACCAAGAGGAAGAACTCCACCAAGGTCTTATATGCCCTATGCCTATTATTTATGGTTTCATGAATGATTCACTTATTGCTGCTTCTTTTTCCCTATGTGTGTTTTTCATAATTAAAAAAAAAAAAATTTCTTTTTTAATAACTTTGTTCATTTGGGTGGTTTGAATCCTGTTGCTCGATTCCTGGTTAAAATCTGCTTTGCAGGAATAGAGGCAGAAGAAGCCGGACACGAAGTCCATCCATATCACGTAGCCCTCGGTACCGTAATCGTCATTATAGTCGTAGCCACAGCCATAGCCCTAGTCGCAGTCGAAGCCCTATTCGCAGCCGCTCTCCAGTTGATGTGTCTAGATCTCGCGTGTCTCCAAGGGCTGGGAGGCGAAGGTCCCCTTCTCAGAGTAGGAGCCAATCAGAATCGAGGTCCTCGTTGGACTCTCAGTCTCCAAAGCAGGCAAGCAAAGCAAGTTCAAGGTCATCTTCTGGAAGTCCAGATGGTAAAAAGGGCCTGGTCTCTTATGATGATGGTTCACCTGACTCGGGAAGGTGAATTAGGTAAAAGGTTTGGGGAGATTTTGATATTTAGTCTTTGATGGGTCCGTGTTCTCTTGATGAACTGGATTCTGCAGTTTTTACCATGTTGTTTCTACTTTGTTGTTGCCAGAGGTTGTGGTTAATTAAATATCTGATTTTAGTATTTGTCATTCAGGTTCTTCTTGGCCTGTTTTTAGGATATTTTATAAATAATGGAGAGTATGTGGATCATATTAGGGGTAGGAATCTTGTTACATTGTTAGTGCAGTATCCCTAAGAATCTTCTGTAGTACTATGAGTCAGGCAATATGATATAGATGCATCTAATGTGTCAGAAAATTTTCCTACAAAACTGGGAAATGGACTCTGGTGATGATCGGGAATTAGTGCTTTGTTGAAATGCTGAGTACCTTGTTTTTATCTCTTGTTCATTTAGAGGAAATCCAATCAGAATTTACCAAAGGGGAATGCTAGTGATGTTAAGAGATCACAGATGCTGCAAATTCTAGGTTGCCAGTGAGGCAGTGACTTGTGCTTGTAGTGATTGGGTTTTTGGGTGTTTGGTTATCTATCAGGTCGTCTTATTTTAATGATATAACTGGCTTTTAATATTAATTAATAACAACAATAATAGTACTAGCTTGATGGTGGGTTTCTTTGGACACTAGATTTTGGAATTGGGTTCAAGGCTTAATGTGAATTCTAACAACTTTCAAAATCATTTTCCCCTCTTTGATATATGATAAACTTCAAATTCAATCAGAATACTGTATGACCTTGATTATTGACAACCTTCAAATTTTACATTTAAGTTGCATCCGAGTCTTTTCCACTGTGGTCCTTTCATTTATTGTGGCTTTATACAAACTAGAGTAACGGTGATCGATGACGAGGGTTTTGCTATTTTATAGCTACATAAAATCTTTCGCCCTTTAAACAACCTTAAATATAAAATAAGGTAAGAATATAAACATATAAAGGAAACCAAAAACCATATCTCAACTGTGAAACCATCGAAACAATGTTGCAAATATTTTTGGACCAACAATCCAACAAGTGAAGGTTTTTCCAATGTGGTTGAGCATTGGACCTATCTACATCTTGTCCTGTCCTCTGCAACATCTTCACTTTCAACATATAGATAGCCTCTTAAAGCATGTTAGTTTTACTTGCTTGGTCTTATGAAAACATTGTTAGCTTAATTTAGCACTTAATTTGAACCATGTCAACAGTTCGGGTTCGTGAAACCCTTCTTGAATATCTCTCTGAAGCACAATCGGATTCTCATGAGGTGCAGCAGAAATCCCTACGAACTCTGGCTTCCATTACCAAAGTCAGTCCACAGAATAGGACTTTGCTGGCACAAACAAATGGAGCCATATCTGCCCTTCTTACCCTTTCCAAATCTTCCTCTCCCATTATACAAATTCTCTCTTTGTCTATACTCTTTAACCTCTCTTTGAACCCTGATCTAAAGCAGTCTCTTGCAGATATGGAGACCATCTATCACCTCAACTCTATAATTCTCTCCCCAGGCTCCCCTGAGTCCAGCAAGTTGGCTTCTTCCCTGGTTTGTAGCTTGGCTATGCTAGACAAGAACAAGGCCAAGTTTGGGGTGGCTGGTACCGTCCGTTTGTTGGTCAATGCAGTTTCAGGACCCCGTAGTCCTGCCGCTCATCACCTCCTTAGTTCTTTAGCAGAGCTTGTGCAGTTCCATGGGAACTGTACCCTAGCTGTCCGGGCTGGAGCTGTCCCAGTGTTGATCCAACTGGCAACAAGCACTGATGTTGAAGACCTCTCCGGAACTTCACTAGCCATTCTGGGCCTTCTTGCTAGGTTTGATGAGGGATTAAATGCTTTGAAAAAGACTGATCAGGTTGTTAGTTCAATAGTAGATGTATTAAAAGGGAGGTGCATGTTGAGTAAGGAAGGTGCAGCCGAAATTCTTCTTCTCCTGTTTGATGAAAGCGAGGGCTGCCTAAGAGATGCTTTGACGCTTCCAGAGTTCTTAACTGTGCTAGCTGATATTTCAGTCAGAGGATCCGCAAGAGCTCGAGAGAAGGCTGGTCAGTTGCTGAAGAAAATGATGGAGGCTAATTTGGATTCCTACAGTGACGGCAACTCCTCCATTTTCGAATGATAATAGCATTTATTGATTAAGATTTGCGCGATCTTTCTCAAGCTTTTGCTGGATTCTTTACTAGTGTAGCAAATCAGAGATAAGTTTTCTTGCTTTATCCAAAGATGTTTGCCTAAATAAAAACTTGTATCTAGTAAACCTTGATGAGGTTTTGGATCTTAGAACCAACCTTTCGTCCTAATTAAACTTGTTGAAAGTAGTTCCCGTTGACAACTTTAAGGACTGAGTTTGAAATTCCAAGGATTGATTCAGTGTCTTGGTGTTGTAATGTTTAAACTGATGTCAAGGATTCATTCATCTACTGTGCAAACGACAAGCACAAGTACCATCCGATGTGTTTTATTAATTAGTCACACGACAAGTTGGTTGCCATGTAAGATGAATGGCTATGCCTTTTGCAGAATGAAAAATTCTGAAAATCAATTATATTGAGGCTATTGCAAAGTTGAATAATCTAGGGGATGTTGCAACCAGAAAAGAGAAGCTAGTGGATGTGGATTTTTTGGGGTCTGCTCACAAATACATTAATCGTAAGAACTGCGGGGTTTCAGTTGACATTGCTCGTCAATCAAGGTAATATATAGAGGAGTTTTTGATGATAAGATTTCTGTCCGAGGTTAGATTGTCTTCAGCTGGGCTGCTTGCATGACAAAGGACAATCAGAAGGTACCGGAGCTGGGGCTTCGAGCTATGGGGTGCTTGCCCATGTAATCTAAAAATATTCCACAACATGAGTGACTATATATACACATAAGTTTTTATACATAGAAGGTTAATTATTACGGTTCATATTAACTTGTAAAATATTGTTTATTTTAATTTATTAGATTTTATAATTTTATCTTATTAAAAATATCTTACAAATTAAAAATAGTATAGATACTTAAATATTCAATTTAATTTTAATACATAATTGATGAAAGATTCAAGACTCATGCTGAGATGACACTAGACATAAACGTGAAATGAAAAAAATCCATTTGTCATAGTCTTTTCAATCTTCTTTTCTTTCGTTCTTGCATTAATTCCAATTTTTTCTTCAACAGATTACTCCTATTAATTTATATACTAACATTTGTGAGACCCACTTCATGCCAATTCCTTTCCGAATTGGGCCCTAATTACAAATAAGGAAGTAGGTGGACCTAGTGAACTCTTTTGTTTTTAGTCTGTAATTCACAAAACAAAGAATCAAAATTAGGTGAAGATGAGACAAAACTTTTGGGAATCAAAAGTATTCCAAGAATGACATTTTACCATTAAGAATAAAAGAAGAAAGAAGAATAATACTCCATATATATATATTAGGTTTCTGTTCCATCAACATGAAAGGGGGACGATCAACAAATGTCAAATATTGATGGAGAAAAGATGGTTTATACAGCTATGTTAGATTCCTCCTTCACCAAAAGAAGGAAAAGACCCATTTTGATTCTTCCATATTTAACGGTTAAAAACTCCCCACAACCCAAAAAAATAAAGTATAATTTATATATATATATATATAAGTTAAAAAGATCAATGGGTACATTCTGCATCAATTGATTTGATTATTACCTTTCCATGATTATTTAGTCTATTTTCCTTCTTTATTACAAGAACTTTCCCTTCTTAAATATTGTGACTTACAAGCAACTCTTCCCCTTTGCTCAAAAGCATTAAGATTTTGACGAAATCCTTAATCAATTGGCAACCTTACTAACAAGTTAGTGCATCTCATGAACCTAAATTCAAAACGGATATGACCTTGCTGTCATTCTCATTTTGTTTTTTCTTTATTCACTCTTGGAGAACATAATAAAACCATTAACCTTTTAAGGGGTGAAATTTTTGGAGAGAAAACTGTGTTTTTCTCTTGTGATTTGTTAGAGAACAGAATTAGGAAACAATGAAATGACTTCGAGACCTATATAAATGTCATTATTTTTAAGATTTTATTTGTCTTCTTTGAAAAAAATCACAAATGATAAATTTCGAGTATCTAATGAACACTAAAGAAATCAATCACTCAGAATTTTTTTACAGATGATTTAGAAGATCGGTATGTAACAAGATTATTTAACTTTTATAGAATTTTTTCACTTGTTTTTGTGTTTTTTTAGAATCAAAGGAGAGTGACAGACACAATTATTTGTTTCACATACCAAATGCCTTTATAATGAATTAATAATATATTATTAATTTAATTAAGTTTCAAGATTAATCAAGGTTTGTAAAGTCGGTCTAATTTGCACTTCAACCCACTTAATCCTATTATTATGAACTTATTTTTCTCTTTATTTAAATTTTTTTTTTAATGTAAAATTATGTCTCATACTTGTTATTGTTGAAAATGTAAAACTCAAACATGATTTGCAACGAAACTTTCACACTTCCCTTAGAAATTCAAATGGCAAACGAAATCTTCTTATAAGACAACATTTCCAATTTAAAACAAACATGCTGTAAATCGAAAATATGTATGCCTGAAACTTCCCAGAGGCTGTGTCACATGAAACTTGAGTTTCAAGCAAATCCCAAAATTCCCCTCTGATTTCTAGAATATTTGGCACATCAATGTATTAATTTAGGCAATCCATCTTGGAGAACACACGACATTGGGATAAATTTATTTGAAAATTCTGAAAAAATCTGCATTAACAAATTTCAACTTTTAGTCTTTTCTCCAGTTTTGATGCTTGAAAAGCTTAGTGCTAAAGTTGTAGCATTAGCGTATGTTGCTTACTCTAATCAAATTTAAAACAGTAAAGCAAAGGAAAAATATTAGTTTCCATATTATTCCAAAGGCTTTGCTGCTAGTCACCTTTTACGTACAAGAGGAACTTTTCAATTGTACAAACTCCGCGGATTCTCTCTTTGTGGATGGTGGGGGTAAGGCAAGAGTTGACAGCTTATACTTAAAAGTAATGCCTATGACAATAGGGTTTAGTTCGACTCGTTAGGGCGAGGTAACATTTGGGTAAACAACTTAGAGTTTGTTCGTAATGTCTATAATTAAGAATAGGGTTTCAAGTAAAAATAATTTAATGTAAATTGCATACCGAATCTCTTTAATTCCCACCATAATATTCCCTCCATGTTGTGCGCCTATATATTATTTTATCATGACAGAAACCCAGTTGAAATTTGCTTCTTTGAGGAACCATGGCATGCACTGAGAAGGTGGTTTGCTCTGTCATGGCCAAAGAAAAATCCAAGCAAGAACTTCCAAGGCAGCGAATCCTATTAAGAAGAGATGAAACCCCTCAACATTTTTATAATGAAAAACGTAATTGAAGGCTGAAGTCATTGTATGAGGGCACTCCCAACATTTGATCCACAGCTGGAGATATCAAGGGTAGGATGCATTGGAAATTATTGATGGTACAACTACAATTCAAATAGGTTTATATATTTTGGGTGCATGATTATGATCGAGTCATGAGCTCCCTTGGAAAGCAATATCCTAGGGAATTTGGGTTCTAAACAACATGAATCATGCATGTATTCAATCCCTTTCAGGTTTAAGACAGACGAACTCTATGCATGTACAAATTAATAGTACAATAAAGTGTATAGTACAGCAAATATCAAAACATATGAAAAGAATTAAAAACTGTTGTCCCGCGGGAGGCATTTATCCTCCAATTCCACTCCATGTTAAAAGAGAGGGAGAGGCCCAGCTTGCTTCATGCACTTTCCTAAAGGCAGAAGCAGACGCCAATTTGGAATAGCCTCCTTTCTCTTATCCCTTTCATACAAATCCTTCTTTTCCTCCTTCATGTATAAAGTTATTTAAATTTTAAACCAACAGGATTGCATATGTCATTTGCAAAATGCCAAGGTATCCGCTGAATATTACGTGCAAATTAGGATGACCGCGGCGGCTCGTTGGGGCAGAGCCGCCTGCTGACTAGTAGTAGAGAAAGATGATATATGTCTAAAGAGTTTCTTAATTAATTAATAAATTTTATTTTTTATTATATTTAACTTATTTTTTATATTTTTACTTTAAATTAAATAAATTAATGGTTGATCAATTATTATTAGTTAAAATATCACTTATCATTATATCATATAATGTTAATGTAATATGTTGTTATGATATAATAAATAATGATATGACAAGTATATTTTCACTAAAAACAAAGGATCATATACTTTTTGGGAGAAATTTTTTATTTATTATATTTTTTTAATGGCTTCAAGAGTAGTATATTTATGGGATTGTAACTATCAAAATTTTTGAAAAATTTTATTTATTATATATTTTTTATAAATGATCCTCTCAAAATAATTTTTTATTTAATAATTAATACAAATAAAAATAATAAAATATTAATTTCTCCACACTTCTTTCTCTTTCTTTCATTTTCTCTCTTTTCTCTTTTGTCATTTTATTTTTATTTTACTCTCTTTTCTATAACTTATCAATGAAACATTTATTATTTTACTTTTTCTCTATAGTTTATCACTAAAACACAATTCATTCTTCATAAGAGATATATAAACTTATAAACTTGAACAAGGAAAGACAGGAATCACTTACCACTGTGTGAAATTAAAAAGAGGTAAAATTTTATTTATACTGTGTGAAATTAAAAAGAGGTAAAGTTTTATTTATCTTCTTTTTTTTATGATGAAAATTCTCACAGAACTTAACCACTTTGTTAAAATTTTATTAATTAATAAAATAAATTACATAATAAGAGGTACGTAACTCCTTACTTCTAGATTTGAAAGAAATATCAAGAATAAACCCTATCCAAGGTATTACTTGCCATACATTTTCATACATGCAAAGAATAAGAAATAGCAATGGTTTACATAAATCTATAAAAAAAACAATAATAATAAATTAGGAGTTCTACTCACTTACTTTCATTTGAACCTAACATATGGTAAATT